GCCACCTTATATTTGACAAAGGGACTTGTTTCCTAGAAGAATAGCCTCTTTAATAAACGGTGTTGGAAAAACTGGCTCTCCATATGCCGAAAACTGAAACTAGACCCATGCACCCGTCACCATGCACTAAGGTCAAAATGGATCAAAGATCTAAATATTAAAACATAAACACTAAATCTATTGGAAGACAAGATAGGTAGAAAACTTGGAGACATAGGTACAGGCAGAGAATTCATGAACAAAACACAAACCGCATAGGAAATACTTTAAAGAATCAACAACTGGGATCACCTCTTATTAAAAAGTTTTTGCACTTCAAAAGAAATCACCAACAAAGTGAAAAGAAAACCCACAGAATGGAAAAGAATTATAGCTGACAATCCCTCAGACAAAGGACTTCTATCTAGAACACACAAAGAATTGAAAAACAAGGCCCCCAAATTCAAAGACTCTTTTTCAAACATGGGCCTATGAGACGAACACAGATTTTACAGATAAAGATATACAAACAGCAAATAAATACATGAAGAAATGTTCACCATCACTGGTCATTAGAGAAATACAAATTAAAACACCATTGAGATTTCACCTAACTCTGAAAGAATGGCTGCCATCAAGAAATCAACTGTTAACAAATGTTGGGAGGCTGTGGGGAAAAAGGAACACTGCTCCACTGTTGGTGGGAGTGTAGACTTGGTGCAGCCACTATGGAAATCAGTATGCAGATTTCTCAGAAGACTAGGATTAGAAGTTTCATTCAACCTGCCTATTCCCCTCCTACGTATTTTCCCCCCAAAATTGAAAAGATCATGCCACAGTGATGTATGTGCACCCATGTTTATAGCAGCAAAATTTGTAATAGCTAAATGTTGGAAACAACCAAAATGCCCGTCAACTGCAGAATGGATGAAAAACGTGGTATTTTTATAAAATGGAATATTACTCAGCTATAAAAATGATCTTGAGGCCTTTATAGGCAAATGAAGGCAACTTGAGACTATCCTCATAAATGAAATAAATAAGCCTCACATTTGAAATATCACATTGTCTCTCTAGTGTAAAAAAAGTATGAAAACAAGTAATAAGATGCAAAATACATAATAGATACTATAAAAATGAAAGGGAAGGAAAGTACGCAAAAGGATATAATTATAAGGACATTTAATTGTGTAAGATAGATGACCATATTACTAAGCTTCCATTAGATCACTGAATAGAATGGTTTGCACTGTCAATGTCTGAGTGTCCACTTTTTATGCTTTGATTTTTTAACTTGAACAACTATTTCTAAGAGGACAACATGTAACTTATCAACTGGTAATTTTTTAATGTTAATATTTTTCTTTGAAATTCTGTATTACTTCCGCCCTTTTTTCTGTTCTGTCCTGTTTTTCTTTTTCTTTAAATTAAAAAAAATTATCAGAAAAGGTTTAGTTAAACCAAAAAAATGTGAATATCTTAAAAATATAAGTTGATTCATTTCACTGTACTTTTTAGTTAGTTAGTTTTATATTTTGAGATAAGGTCTTGCTATGTAGTTCCAGCTGGCTTTAAACTCACTATTTCCTTAGGATGGCCTTGAACATGTGGCAATCCTTCTGTCTCAGCCTCCTAAGTGCTGGGATTACAGGCATGTGCCACCATGCCAGGCTATGTCACTGGGTTTTAGTAAGCACAAAAAGAAAGATTTTGATGAGGAATAATGTGGGAATGTAATGTGGGCATTTCTATGGAAAACAGTATGGAGATTCCTCAAAAAAAAGAAACCTAGAAATTCCATTTGACCTAACCCCTTCTATATATCTCCCTAAAAGAGTTAAAGACATCATATTACAATGATACATGCATTCCCATGTTTATAGCAGTACAGTTCATAATAGCCAAGTCTTGGAAGAGGCCTACATGTCCTCTAATAGCTAAATGGATCAAGGAAATGTGGTATTTACACACAATGGAGTACTATCATGTAATAATCAAAGATAAGCCAATCATTAGTAGGAGAATGGATGCATCTTGAAACAATGTTAAATGAAACTAAATAAAGCATAAATATTACATGGTTTTCAGGAAAAGGCAGAATAAAAGAAATAGGGAGGTAGATCTTTCTCAAATGCGAAGGGGTCAAGAGACGAGGGAGGGAAAGAATATGAAAAAGGAATTAAGATATGTTATGTACATGTACCAACTCCACACAAGGAATATAAACATTCTGTACTACAAACCTATAGAAAAATAAATAATAAAATATTCTAAAAAATAAAGTCTTCTATGTAGGCATAGTGGTGCAAACTTGTAATCCCAGCACTTGGAAGGCTGAGGCCGGAGCCTTTGAGCTCAAGGCCAGCTTGGGCTACATAGTTAGTTCAAACCTAGCCTGAACTACATAGCAAGACCTATCTAACAATAAATAAAATAAAATAAAGTAAATCTTCCCCTTCAAAACTGAGAATGTGGTCCTAAAATGTGAACACTTGAGTAAAGAAAAACATCTGGGTAGATTTCCATATTGAAGCCTCAGGTACAATAAAACAGTTTTCCCTTATGCCAAAGTTTCTCTGGATATACTTTTTTAAGGTCATGGATCCCTTTGCAAATATAATGGACATTATGAATCTTCTTCCACAAAACCTCCACATACAATTAGAGGGACCTCAAATCTGAGGACATGAAATTCACCATACAGTATGTTTACTTAAAAGGGAATTCTTTGGCTTCACCCAAAATATAAATGAGAATCTCTACTCCAGATATGAGGCGAAGAAATATACCATTTCAGCAAGCAACTCAGGTTTTTACCTTAAGAGATACTTCCTAAAGCTAAGCCTTTTTTTTACATACTTAAAAATGCAACTAACTTTTTGGTTTTTGAGACAGGGTTTCCCTATGTAGTTTGATCTCCCTATATGTAGCATAAGCTGGTCTCTAACTCTTGCTGTTCTTTCTGTCTCAGCCTCCTGAGTGCTGGGGTTACAGGTATACGCCATCATGTCCAATCTAACTGAAATATTTTACTAAGAGGACTTGAGTCCAGGCAAATCTGTGGCCCTGCACAAGTTATCTGGGCTGAGCCTTTGCCTCAAACCAGAACAGTACTAGAAACTATTCCTCTCACAGTTAAGAGCAATGCTTGACAAAGCTGAACATAATGTCAAACAGTAACTGAAGCTGTTCTAACAAATTTTAACACCAGTAAATCTTAACAGGGAGAGGAGTTACAGACTCATTTGAGAACCACACCTTGTCCATAGAATACTGCATATTCGCATATGATGTTACATATTATTTCGGGGGTTGAAAGACTAACCCCTCCTCAAACTCATACTAATCTCTAAGAAGTTTAATTTTATAGGGCTGTGAGGAAGAAATGAGCTAAGAGATACACTAAACATAGCCATAAGCACAAAAGACCTACAAAAAAGCAACATATTTCAAATTTTGAGGAACTATAGTAGTGGTTTTCTGTCTTGAAAATGTACTAGGAAGACTTGAGCCATCATCTTATTAAATCTGTAAAAAGTAATAAGCTCGGGCTTAGGATTTAGCTCAGTGGCGTAAGCGCCTGCCTGGCAAGTTGCAAGGTCCTGAGTTTGATCCCCAGTACCGCAAAAAAAAAAAAAAAAAAAAAAAAAAAAGTAATAAGCTCCTTAATATTGCATAGATTATGCTAATAAAATATGTACAACAACTGAAATCCACAATATACATGCTTTGTTTGTTTTGGTACGGGGATCAAACTCACAACCTCCTGCTTGCCAGGCAGGCGCTTAGACCACTGAGCTAAATCCCTGGCCCCAATAAACATGTTTTAAAAATTATTTTGCAGTCAGAATAAACTATGCTAGTTAAACTTGAATATATTCAGCTCGATATTGTGTAAACATACACATACAAAAAAGTCTGCAATAAGCCAAAACTACCAGTCTTCCAGCCCCTGGATCTATGATGTTAATTACTTTCTACTCTTCTGTACTTTCCAACTACACAGTAAAAAGTATCTAAATTTAAACAAGAGTTTGGTATAGGAATAAAACCCAAGAGGGGTGTGTGCAAACCACAATTTCTAATTTTGATTTGGCTAATGTGACCGTGGGCAAGTCTCTTCAGTACAATGAACCAGTTATTAGTAAATGACAGTATCAACGTGTTTCTGCTTCAGCCTTGTGACATCATGAAGTTATCTCTGTACTTTCTCAAAATCTTAATTTTCCTTGATTTTTTTTCTGACTGTGGGCTGCAAGCCGTCTTCTTCCCAAACACTGCAGAACTATCAAGAGACTTTAGAAGAAAGTTAATTTGCTGTGGTTCCCAAGCTGTCACAGTTACTTCAAAATAATGACAGGTTCATGTGCATGCGGGAACTTCAGCGCGTGGATCGGTGGATAATTCCCAACCAATGTAAGAACGCCTTGACAGGTCAGGGAGTGACAAGTGATTTAAAGGTAATCATTCGAAATGCTTTAGCACCAGCCAGGAAGGGAAAACTGCCTGGGTTAACGACAGAGCCCAGCGCAGGTCCCCGATGGGAGACGCAGGTCCACCGTGCTAGCTCAGTTGAGAAGCCAGGGCGGGCGTTCTCCCGCGACCCCGGCATTTTTCCTCCACTGCCCTTGTTTGCCCTCCGGCTCCCGCTTCTCAGGGCAGCAAAGAGGCGCAACGGGAAGACCCACCGGGTCAGATCCGGGCCGCCCGCCCTCGTCCAACCCCAGCCCAGGCCCCGCGCCCCCAGCCCCATTGCCGCGAGGCCCGCCAAGCTCCCCGCCTCGGCTCCAGGCAAGGAGACCGGCCGAGAAGGGCCGAGAAGAGCCGAGGAGGGCCGAGGAGGGCCGAGAGGCAGAGCCCAGGCCGGGGCGGGAGCGCCAGCCCAATCGCCGCGCCGGTGGGCGGGTCCGCTCAGGGGCCCGTGGCCCAGCAGGGAACGGCCACGCCCCAGACGCGGCGAGCAGCCCAGCGCCGAGGGAGAACGGCGAGGAACCTAGGCCTGGAGTCCCGGGAACTAGTACCTGGCGGCCACACTGAGGACGGCTGAGGGCGCTCGCAGAGAAGGGCGGGAACTCTTCCAGCAATGGCGCGGGCTTGGCGGGTGGTCCCCAGGCAGTCCAGTGCGCCTGTGCGGCCGGGCACCGGAACTACAGCTCCCAGAATCCTCAGCGCCGAGACCGGCCTCCCCCTCGCGCCCACTCTGGTTTTGTCCTCATTTATAAAGGATTTGGCTTTATAATGACCTCATTTATAAAGGATTTGATGTTTATCTTTGGGCGACCGAAAAATTCGGTCAGATTGAAGGCACTTGCGTTGAGAGTCTAATGACTGTCTGGCACTAGCTCGAGACGCTACATGTACAAAGAACACTGACACAGTCTTTGCCTTGAACATTTCTGTGCAACTTCCCAGGATGCAACCCTGTAATCCCAGCACTCAAGGCGGTTGAGGCAGGAGGATCAGGTGTTGGAGCTCAGTTGGGGCAAGTTAGCAATTTAGCTAAACTCTGTCTCTAAGTAAGTACATATATGCATACGATAAGAGGGAGCAGGTAGCTCAGTATCAGTCCTACGTTTAATCACCCATACCACAAGGAAAAAAAAAAGAAAAAGAAAAAACGAGAAGATAACTGAGAATAGAAGCTTTATATGTAACTTAGTTAAAACCTCAGATGCCTGCAGAGTTGATGCATGCCCAAGTTTTTATCTTTCGTTCATGCTCTTGACCAAAAAAAAAAAAAAAAAAAAAAAAAGTGCCTTCATTATAGTAATACATTATTTCTTTTTGCCATGGTTCCCTACGTTGAATAGCCAAAGACGATATTCTTCATAGCTCATCAAACAGAATCTTCAAGGATCTCAGAGCTGCTTCCTTAGGAGAGGTCCATTTTCTTTGTAATACATTCTTACTCCTTGTGGGGTCCAGAAAGACTTCTCTCTGCTGCTTTAATTATATACAGTGCCTATTCAGGGTCAGCTCCTCCCGCTGAGGATCTGCAAGGAGTTGTAAAGCTCACTGAGACTAGACTACACACAGTGCAAAACTGGGCTCCTGAGTTCAAAGAATCAGTGTATATTTTGAGGGTAAGTTTGACATAGTCTAGTGACCCTTGAGAGGAAAATGCAAGTGGAAAATTGATCTTCTAGAGATCGCAAGTTAAACATGCAAAAAAGAAAACAGATTACATAGGCATAAAAGCAGATTACATATTACAAAAAGAAAAGACCCGCATTGGGAGCCGTTGAAACTGGATATTCACTACACCTACGGGAGCCAGCCAGCTAGGTCAGAGAACAAAGACTATCTGGGGTAAGCCACAGAAACAAGTCACTCTGGGCCCCAAAATTGAGGCCCTTGAGTTGCAATACATGCAGATTGCTAGGCAGTGTCATGTGACCTTAAATTGTTGAAGGTATAAACAACCCTGCAGTGAGAGGACAGTTCCTTTCCTCCCATCAGGAGAAAGAGGTCTCTACCTAACTCTAACTTACCTTTATTTTTCTCATCCTTCCACCATCCTTCCCCCCGGAAACATCTGGAGCTGCACAGGTCGAGGCTGACCGGCAAATTTAGAGATATAACAATAAAAATTGCCTAAAAACAAAACAGAGAAAAAGAAGGAAAAGTGAACAGAGAAATTACAGGGTAATATTAAGAGTTATGGGACAACATCAAACAGCATAACAATGTGCCATAAGAGAATATTTCAAAAAATAATGGCTAATCTCAAGATTTGGTAGAAATTGTAAACCCACAGAACAAATTTACAACCACACACATCGTGATCAAATTGCTACAAACCAGTAGTGAAGAGACCTTCCTCCCAGTCAGCATACGTGAAACTGGCTGGATTCTCAGGTGCTGCAGTCTCCTTTCAGAGGTAATATCTAGGTCCTTTCCATCCTGGACAAAGATCTGAACGAAACAAGCATAAGCAGAGGCAGAATTTCATATTTATTTTACAAAAGAAGGATAAGGGGGAAATGGGCTCTGCAGAGCAAGCTTCACCCTGAGTAACAAGAGAAAATAAAAATAAAAACAGATCCCACAGCATAGGGTAGACCATCCTGAACAAGCAGGATAGTGAGCACTTAATGACAACTGTCCTTTTTAAAAATTTCCCAGTACAGAAAAAAAAAAAAAAAGCTAGAAAACATTCAAAGGTAAGAGAGACATCAGGTGACAAAGACCCTGATAAGATCCAGGTTTAAAATAGCTAAGAATTGATTAGATGACTCCTAAAAATTTCCCTCTCCACTAAAATTATAGCTGGTTAGGAGCTAGACTTTTGAGTTTCTCTTGGAGTATTTGATACTTCTCTGCAACCAAAGGCTACAGAGACAGATGTAGCCCTCTTCTTATGAAAGCCAAAGGATAAGAGATGAGATGTCTAATTGCTAAGATGAAGTGGTTGCACTAATAGTTTATATTTTAGCTCTTTGATGCAAAATATGAATCACATGAGCATGGACCAAATGAAGGGCATGTGGGAGATGAAAATAGGATCATCTTGAATTCTGTATCTCAGGGCTGCTTGAGAGTAAATGGGACATTTAGCTAAGGAAACTAAGAACTGAGGAGGGAATAGTCTAATAGTACAAATATACATTAGCACACATCAAGAGAATTACACAGTGAAGGACCCATGGAAATACTGAGCCATCTTTAAACTTCTGCAAAGTTCATGAAGCATGAAGCAAGCCTACAATGGTGCCAGTCTAGTATAGTCTTTTTTAAATCTTGCCTCCCTCACTAGCCCAAACTTGGAGGAACTGTAGGCAGCTTATGACAAGGGAAAAAAGGAAGAGGATGAAGTTGTTCATACTGTCTTGCACTGTAGGATTATCTGTATGAACCAATAATGAACTGGAAAAGGACAGATTTAACTCTAGTTCAGACTGAATCCCTCTAATTATATAGGATCGTGTGATGTGTTTTTTTAAATAGTGACTGTACTTTTGTAAATATAATCCCAGGAAGTTTTTCCAAATGTTATGGACCTTTTCTGAATTTTCACCCAAGGGAAAGACCAAACTCTCACTTTTCAGTTTTAAATTGAAAGTGATTGTAAAGTTACTTACTTCATAAGCAGAATATAAATGTATATTATAAAATAAAGCTCAAGCCAGTCATGGTGGCTCACGCCTGTAATCCCAGCACTCGGGAGGCTGAGGTGGTAGGATTGTTGTGAGTTCGAGACCAGTCTGGGCTACAAAGTGAGCTCAAGGCCAGCCTGAACTGCATAGAGAGACCCCATCTCAAAAAAGACAAATATAAATAAATAAATTTAAAAAATAAAATAAAGCTCAGATATGGTATGCTGGTTGATTAAAAACTTGTCCAATCTATAACTTTCATATTTATCTTTAGTATAATTTTATAGTGTTAAATAAATGATGGTTTAAAATTAACATTTTTTACATAATTTACATTCATAAAGTTACTCTTAACCATTAATTTTATTATCTAATTTAATTTTTGAGGCTTGCCTCTTATCTTTGATGCTTTTAATCATCCCATAGATTTTCTTGCCCAATCAGTTTCTTGATTTAATAGTTAGCTATGAATATTCTTTGGAATTTTCTCCATATAGATCACTTTTGTGGTAACTAGATTCTGTAAAATTGGCTGTTCATTAAAATGAATAATTTCATTCTTCATGACCAGAAGTTACTTTTTCAGTGAGAGTTTTCTCAAGGGTAATTACTTTTTTATTAGGGTTATTAGCCCGGTTATCTTCCTGTCTCAGTAACCTATCATTTCTTTTCTGGAACTCTCCCAAATGATAGCACCAAGAATCATTTTCTGAGTCTTTACATTATGGACCTCTGGTATATTTCTCTTTCCAAATGTGTGCTGTTGCGGCAGGACACTTGGTTTTAGGTCTGATCCTCCAGTCTGAAAGAGATGGAGAAAGGAAAATATTATTTTCAATGCAAAATACATGGTTAACTGTTGTAGTATAAACCTAGTAATAAAACTGAAAAAGATCAGTTTTTTCTACTGCACAATTATTAATAAAACAATGTCTGATATTTTGTTTAAAGCATAAGAACATTGCCATAAATTTGTATTTAAGCCTTTTATTTCCATAGGAATCTCCTTCAGAGGATATTGTATTGCAATAAGCATTTTTAAAACCATAAGCCTTATACTAGATATAGAGGCATTTTATAAGGTAAGACCAAAATACATGAGTGTGTAAAATATAATTCCATTTTTGTCAGACATAACCAGTATGCCTAGAGGAAAACATTAATAAAACCAACTATTTGTTACTTAAAGCTAGCTTCTAGCTAGACTTATAAAATTGTTCAAATAAATATAATTAGAAATGAAAGATGAGACATTACAACATATATAAAGATCATGAGTACCACTGTGAACAATATGCCAACAAATTATATACCCCAAAGCAGTGGTGGCAAGGCTTTTAGAGCTTTAGTGGTACAAACAGCCCACTGCAGCATATGTAGGTTGACTACAACTGACCCAGAGAAAATAAAAAATTTCTAGAAAAGTATAAATCTACCAAGATTTAATAGGGGAGAAATAGAAAGCCTGAAGAGATCAATAATAATGAAGAAATTGATGAAGTTCATTAAAAGTGTCCAACAAAGAAAAGCCTAGCAACAGATGGCTTCACAGCTAGACTCTATCAAACAAATTAATTATCGATTAATTATTGATTGATTAGTTATTACCAAACAAGGAAATTATTATCAGTATTTCTTTGACTCTTCCAAAAAATTAAAGCAAGAGGCAATACTTCTAAACACATTTGATAAGGGAATATTTCTAAATATTTTATTCCAGCCAATATGTTGACACTTCAACCAAACACTCATTAAATAAACAAAACTACAGTCCACTCTCTCTGATGATCATTGATGTAAAACATCTTGCTAAAATATTTTTAAACTGATTCAACAAAACATAACAATGACAGTACATCATGACTAAGGGAAATTTATCTCTGGCATGAATGACTGGTTTAAAATGGGACATATTACAGTAACACAATGAAAGATAAAAATCATGATCATTTCAACTGACATAGAAAAAGCTCTTGACAAAGTTCAACATCCATTGTTGATAAAAACTTTTTACAGTTTAGGAAGA